GAGAGAGAGAGAGAGAGAGAGAGAGAGAGAGAGAGAGAGAGAGAGAGAGAGAGAGAGAGCCCAATCCAACTAACTACGTGCGCCCCCCGGCTCCCCCCCTCCCCATCGGGTGTAGTATCTGCTCCGATCAGTTTCATATAAAAAAAAGCAAGTAAATGCATGCGTGCAAGATGCGGGAGAGAGAGAGAGAGCGCAATCGAACTTAACTACGTGCGCCCCCCGGCCCCCCTCCCCCATGGGGTGTAGCATCTGATCCGTTCAGTTTCATATAAAAAAAAAGCATCTAAAGCATAGTTGCGGCGCACCTCGGTGCGCGGATTTGCGCACCACGTGCAGTGCACCGCACAGCGCACGGAAGCACAGCGCACTTGAGAAATTAGGTCCAAAAAAAAAGAAAATAAGTAGGGGTTTTGTAATTTCTTAGGGTCCTCAGCTCGGCAAAAATGTTAAACTCACCGCGCAAGCTCGCAAACCGACCGCGCCCACGGCCCAAACTTTTCTTTTGGGTAATGGCTGCCGAAATTTCGATTTCTGCAGGCCCTTCCACCAAAAGTTTCAGAATGGTGAGGCACAAAATAGGGCTCGTTCCAACTTTTGTTTTAGGCGGGGTATGAAAGCTGTCCTTCCCGCTGCCTTCTGCAAAGCCCACACAGTAGTGGGGTAAGTTCGCGAGAAGGGTTACTCGCCTAATAAAGACCTACCCTGCGAAACTTCGCAGAAGTCACAAATTGCATGTTCCATGGCCAGCCGACCACCAATATATGCTGAAGATTGGCGTTCAGGTCCGCATGTCGGCAGTTATGGGTTAGGAGGAAGATGCCCGTGGCTCTCTCATTTTTTTGTTTTCGTTTTCTTACGAATACGTCCAGTGGGGATGCATGGCGGTGTATGGTTCCATGTTTTAACAGAAGATTTGTTCTACTAATATTATATACATTTGGTGAGTTGTGGAGGGAGGCCCTGAGAATCACGTGGAGACACGAACAGGGTCTAGCTAAATTGGTGACCCATAACTGCCGAGCTACAGCCCTGAACTCGAATTCACAGCATATATTGGTGGTCTGCCCACATCTCTCCCACACGTGACGAGGTCATCCTTCTCATTGAAGCTGGCCCCCAATGGCTCCAGATGTATTGTAGGAGCCATGTGAGGTACCTGCAGGGGGCCTCGAATTGATGTGAAGGGGACCCTTTGTTGTCTCTCTCTCTCTCTCTCTCTCTCTCTCTCTTGGG